TGTTGACGCACGTGGGCTTCAACGCAATACGTCTAGGCAGACCTCCTAACCAGCGCCGATAGCACCCAAACTAGAAGCTGGCGCCTGAAGGCGTCCGTCTAGGCGGGCCCATATAGATCTCGGTCGCTCCCGCAGTTTTCTAGTTTTTTTTTTCATCGGCTCGTATTCTTGCTTTGATTGTCGTATATTTCTATGGCCATCCGGGTACGGCCGCCCACATGCATGCATAGCAGCATGCGCGTCTGGGCGTCCTCATATCTTCCTCACATACGGACTACTTACGTGGGCCGTTTGAGATGGATTTGAAGGGTCCGGTTGGTTGGCATTTTTTAGGGAGCCCTGTCCGGTCCGGTTGTAGATGCTATAATATCATCAAATGCCGGCGTTTAGGATATCCACCAGGCTTTAAACAGCAAATTACAAAAGGTAGGCTTTCAAGGGAATCATCACCGGAAAACGACACAACCTAATTGATCCCACAGACAAAACACACACGGTGCCCTCTCGCACACTTGGAGACGAACAGAACCCGTCCAGAAGCAGCGTGCATTTCTGCCCGAATATCCAGAGCAAGCACGCAGCCGCACCCTTTCCTTTCCCCCCGTCGCCGTCGCGGGTGTATCTCCGCACCGCACTGGGATATTCCGCGCAATCCCCCGGAGACGCCAGGCCAAACATGCACTCCCTTGTTTAACTTGCGCTGCCCCGCGCTGCAAGCGACAAGCTAATGGCGTGGCGAGAGCGTCGCCCGGCGCACGACAAACATACGCGAACACGCGGCCCGACGGGGACAGATCCGGATTTGGGGAGATCTCCCGTGACACCCTAGACCTAAAGAAGAGCGTCCGAGCGACTTGTTTAACAAAGGCTGCTTGGCCGGCGAGGCGATGCCGGATGGATAATCCCTGGCCATTGGCTCGTTGACAGCCGCTCCATCCACCTGCCAAAACGGAATCTCCCCCCGTCGAGACGAGGGGTGGACTCTAGAGCCAGCGCGCTGGCTGGCGGCGACGTGACCCGAGTTTTGTCCCTTCGCTCCAACGGAGATGTTGACCTGGAAAGGCTGCGGAAAGTAAGCGGAGTTGGGTGGCGACGGGAATGGAATACAAGGAACGGGGCGGAACGGGATGCTGGATTGGCACAAGAGAGAGAGAGGGGGCGAATATTTGCTCAGCCGCCAGGGAGGGGTAAACAACTCGCATCAGCCAGCCTATAGGAAAACTCGTTCCGATGTTCTCTTCTTGGCTGCGCGAGGGAGAGTCTGTGCTCCGACCAAACTATAGAGCATCTTTTTTTGGGATGGATGGATGGAAATGTAAAGTGGTATCTATCCTTGTAAAGTAGAGTATTCTTCTCTTCCGGACAAGATATGGATTCGGGACATCTTGAACGCGTCAGGAAAGATATTCGCGTCCGCTTTCACACCTCCTTTTGTTTCTCAAGTGCCGCCACCACTCGTTCATCCACAGGAATCGATCGTGTCCTCCTGCTATATACGGTCGTTGTGCCATATATATCAGCTGAGCTGAGCTGAGCTGGAGCTGGAGCTGGGGCTTAGTCGACCGTCAAACCATGGTGTTTTTTTTAAAACAAGGCAAAAGACTTACCATTTCATGATTAAGAACAGAGTAAGAATTGACCGGTTAATTTATGGAAAACTGGGCTAAAACCGATACAACCCAGCTCAGAAATGGGCACCACCGGCCAACCTGGTCACATGCCAATAGATGGCCACACGCGCCAGCGAACGACAGCTTTTACTTTGACGACAATCTTTGCTAAGGAAGTATGCAGGGCTTGCGCCGACCGAGCCCTCCGCAAACAACCACCGGACGCCTGTCATCGTCATCACCTGGACACAATCCACCGCAGCTCCGACTCCATAGCAACCAAGCAACCACAGAAGAGCACATCGGACACGCCGGATAGACCGACTACCAAAGCCCGAGCCGCTACCAAACTCATTTTGACGCCATCATCGTTGCCAAACAGACATCGACGCCCCTGACCTCGACGAACCAGCCACCACCAACCACCAGTCTCCTAGTTGCAGTCTACTTCAAGACTATGCCCCCAAGGAGGAGAAAGGCGCGGGGACGCCTCCATCGCCCGATCTGAGGTTTCCCCTGATAGCCAAGGCCGCGGGGAGCGGGGTGAGCACACCTCCACAGCGACGCTCCCAGGAAAGATCACGACACCCATGGACACCGCTGTCGCCGGTTCCGAAGAAGAGGATTTCTCCGGAAGATGCCTCGACCACCAGCATTCCACACGGCAGACCACCAACTGCAGCCCACAAACCACCGCAAATTATGTCGAGGCCGACTTCAATCTAGCCGCGGGACCCCTCGATCCGCTGTGCCCAGATGCGCTCCGCCCCCGGCCGAAGCCGCCACCATCAAATCCGAGGCCGCCGCCTCGGCAACCACAGCCCACCACTGCCGACGACATCACCACCGGTTCAATGATGAACAACATTTGCTTAGGCTTGCTGTACTTGGTAGCAACATTCTGACACGGCCATGTTATTTTCGTGCAAGCGGCTTCCTTTGTACTACCTCATTTCCCTCCAAAAAATGTCTTATATTTTGAGATGGATGTAGTAGTAATTTTTTCAGTGTGGATGTTTATCCTCTTTTTTTAGTGAGTACTACATATCTTTATTATTTACAATCGGATTTGATAAATTCAACCTCTCAAACGTCTACGGACACGCTCGGGTGTGCTCGTGGGCACTGCCCGATCACACCTCAAATTTTCCTCTTCACACCCACCTACCTCATATCCGACACCATATATCTATACAACACATGCAACATAAGAGCTACACAACATGATTAAATAACGCAAAACCACATCAGCATGAAACGGAGAACCGTGCACATAAATGAATTGTACATCATCCAAAAGATTACCAGAGTTCATTGTCGGACAAGTTCTAAAGTTCAACAACTAAAAGACGATAAAAAACATAGGAGGAGGAGCGTCTTGTCCACTTCCTCCCCTAGGCTTTTCCCTTCCAGTCGCCGGCGTAGCTGTAGGCGTTCGCGGTTGGTGGAGAATCATGGTCATCGGGGAAGGAGGTGGAGTTGTGGTCGTCGCCATTGTCGGGGTCGGAGAGGACGATCAACCCCTTCATTCAGCGGGCGGCCCTGTCCTGCTGCCGCTTAACTTGGCGAGCCGAGCCGTCTCCGTCGCTGCCTCCTTCGCCTCGCGCTCCGACTGCTCTATGGCAAGCCGGAACGCATTTGCGTTCTTCCGCCGTAGGCGGCGAGCGTCCGTCTTCGCTGTCGTGAGCAACCGGCGGTAGACCCAAGCGAGGAGCCGCTCGTCCTCGTCGGGCTCCGCCAGCATCCCGCGGCGGTGGCGCACGGACTGCTCGGCCGTGTCCCTCTCCCTTGCCCGCTGCCTCTAGCGGTGGGCGGCGCGTGCCTCCGATTCCGGAGTACGCGTGCGGCCGGGGGTGCGAGCACTAGCACCAACCTGCCCGAACAGAGCATCGACTGACGGGGAAGGGAAAGGGGACGAGGCAGTGGCGGAGCGGACTGCGTTGCCCTGGCGGAGCAGCGCGCGGGCCGGGATGGGCCAGCTCCAGCGTCCACGCTGCGCCGGCGCGGGAGCTGCGACGACGCAGCAGATCTGGAGCTGCCCCCCGGTGTCCACCTTGAGCCGCTCCAAGGCAATGCGGAGGGCCAACTCCTCATTGACGTCCACGTCAGAGCCGGCTAGCTGCCGGAGCTCGACATTGCATCGGATTGGATTGAAATCGAAAGGCAGAGAGGAGAGGACGGAGCGAGAGAGAAGAGTGAGTGAGCTAGGGTTCCGAGCGAGGTGCTGGATTGGGATTTTTTTTGGGCTAACGATGGGGTCGATGGTGGGCCAGGCTTGTATGTGGACGACCAGACCGTCCCATATCCGCCCTATATTTGGACTGCATATAAGGGGCGTCAAACAGTCCGACTTTTGAGGCGGGCATTTGAGACGGGTTTGAATAAACCCGGGTGTAGATGCTCTAAGAAGAAGTAGGAGTACCTCTCACGACCACAGGATCAAATGGCTACTACTCCCTCCGTTCCTAAATAATTGTCTTTCTAGAGATTTCAACAAGTGACTACATACAAAGCAAAATGAGTGAATCTACACTGTAAAACATGTCTACATACATCCGTATGTTGTAGTCCATTTAAGATGGCTAGAAAGACAATTATTTGGGAACGGAGGGAGTAGCATGCATGAAAGATGATTGGAAAGTCAAACCACCGGCATGCCGTGGCCATCTAGCCTCTCCATCTTATCTCGGTAATGATCTCTGTCGATCCGATCCATCTTCACTGTAGATGACAATTATATCTGACTAGTTAATGAGCCTTGTGCTTGAGTACCGGAAGACACAAATGGCAGCATGCATTATATTTCAACAATGCTATCTGCCCAGCTGCAGATCTTTATTAGGTGTAGACTGACCGCTTAACAGTTTGGTGAACCACTCCCGCATGTCTTCTGATTGTCCTGTGCATACATATCCGGCCTTTCCATTGCAGATCCCTTCACTGTTTTATAGTATACTGCTAGGAACGAAGGATATGCTTTCCAGCGTGTCGGAGTCGAAGCAAAATGTCAGTTGGACAGTCTCGACGTCCATCGGAAATGCTTGCACGATTTTGTTATGGTTGATTAGTAAACTCACCATATTAAACCTCATCACTGCCAACCATGGTTAATTAGCGCACGGCTCGTGATGCGGTTAATTATTCATACAGTACGTACGTGAGGATAAAATGATTCATGTGTATATCAACGTACGTATGGTATCAACAGTATATAACCTCTTTTAACTTGTAGGAGTATACATGTATATATCACTCAAGAAATCAAGAGAAAAAAAAACTAAGAATCAAGCTCTCTCTCCCAATAAGGAACCAATGAGGAAACCAAGAAGAACCGGATGAACACACGTTCTATCACGATCTATGTACCGAATGAATGAATGGGCGCGTGTCTCAGGGCTCGTTCTTGCCGACCGATCGCCGGCACGGCCGCCACGCGCTGGCCGTGATGAGGGCCCTGTCTCGCCACCCCAGCGCCATGGCCTTGCCGTCGCCGGCCTCGATGACGCGGAACCCGCCGCCGCCGCACCCGCCGCTCTTCATCTTGAGCAGCAGCTTCGCCTGGCTCACGGTCCTCGAGCTCAGCCTCGCGTCTTCGAACCCCGCGCTCTCCAGCCTCTCCTTCCAACCGCGACTGATCTGGTCCGCCGCGCGATCGCCGTTGTGGCGCCGACGGTCTAGAGAGGCCATTGCGTCACTGATCTCCACGCCGAGGTGGTCCCTCTCAATGGCGATCCTCTCGGCGCTGTCGGCCGGGAGGCACTCGTGCAGCGACTCGAACACGGCCGCGTAGTACCGGAGGTTGGCCGCGAACTGCGGGAGCAGGCTCGCGCTTCCGCATCTTCCGGCACCTTTGCCACCGCTTCCTTCGTCGATCTTGTCGATCAGGAAGACCAAGGACGGGTTCAGAGACCGGATGTGAGCCAATGCGCTGCGGGTATCCCATGAGCTCGGCCTCGCGTTCTGTGCGGCCGGGAACACCAGGTTGACGACCACCGTCGCGGCGGGGTCGTTCTTGATGCGCTCATGGCGGCCGTCCCCCGGCCCGTTGTTGACGACGCCCTCGAACTCGAACCGCAGGTTGGGGCAACCGTCCGCGAAGCGGGCGAGCCTGGCCTCCGTGTCCCGCAGCTCGTCGGCGCTTGCGCCGAACCCGGTGATGCGCAGGGACACCGGCTCGTCGCAGCAGTCGCCGCTGCCGTCCTGGGAGGACTGGGAGGAGCTGGTGGTGGCGGCGTCGGAAAGGGACTGGATCAGGGACGGCCACTGGAAGCCGAACGAGACGTCGAAGTCCACGACGTGGAGGCGGCGCCGGCCGCCGGCCTCGAACGCCTCCACGATGGCCTGATTGGCCGTGAAGTGCGCGAACTGGTAGAACGGGGACGCCTGGTAGAACATGATGAACGCCAGGAACTGCTCTTCGCGAGTCGTCGTCGTCGTCGTCGTCGTTGTCTTCGCCTTCGCCGGCGGCGGCAGCAGGAGCCTCGACGCCAGCGCGTCCGCGAAGTAGGCCGCGACACGCTGGGCGGGGTCGCCTCCGCGGAAGGACGCCTGCCGGTAGACCTCCTGCAGGGCGACGGCCGCCGCGTGCGTGTCGCCGACCTCCCCGGCGACCGCCGACGAGAGGAGCAAGCGCATCAGCGGCGAGGCTCCGCGATCACTCACATCCCCGTCGTCGTGATCAAGCTCAACCTTGACCATGCGATCTCTGGCCTGGAGGAGCCGCATGACAGTGGATCGATCACCGCCGTCACCGGCGCCGAGGACGCCCACGTCGCCTGCGCCGTCCATCACCTTGCGCTTCTTGGCCGCGGCGCCACCACCATTGACGCCTAGACTCAACGTCAGGTTCATGTACACCCAAACACCCAATTGATCTCTCCAGCCTCTCCTGTCTAAGAAGCTCAGAAGCTAGCGCGGGGGGCGATTAATGGAGATCGGCGAGGCGCGAGACGTACGTAGCGGCCGGGGGAGGGAGGGGGGAAACGGTCACGGCGACGGGGAGGGGTATATATAAGCGACCGAAGGGAATCTAGATGTTCCGCTCCGCGTGTAGCTTAGTTTGCAAGAAATGAAATGGCCGCCAATATGCTCCTCCCGTTTTGGCTGGTTCCCGGGCGCGCTGCCCTTGGATCCCAAGGATAGGATATGCCGGTGGAGTGCTCGCCTCTCAGACCCCTTGTTTTATGCGCAAGGATCTATCTGCCAAGTGCTAACCTATCATCTACCGGCTGCTACCAAGCTCCACCGCTAAGAACATCTCTCGCTGAATTAAGCATTGTTCAAACTTGGTGTTAGTTAACAATGTGTGTGTTTGACAGAGGAGAACAGAGTGGACTAGTAGCTTGTGATGAATATACAATGGCGGTTTCAATGGTATCTCGCTCTCTAGTCCACACTGCAAGATCCGCTTTTACACTGTATGTGCTAACCAAATGGAGGTGGGGCACACATATACAGATGTACTATAGTAGCATATGGCTTGGCTATGACAAGCCTAGATGGACGCCATTTTAATACGGTTAGGTGGAACAAAGATTGATGCCCAAGTTGAGGTCTATAGTTTATTTAAGCGTGTTCAAACTCGTGATTCTCTCGGAAGGTGCATGTGGGGCTAACATGGACTCGATCGAGCATCATCGTATACGTCAAGACGGTTTGGGGCATACGTTGTGTGGACTGGACTTCTTTGGACATGGAATCAGTAAAAGTCATAGAATCTCATTCCCTCAAGAAAATGTAAAAATTGTGGAAAGGGGGAGGCTGGGTGGTTGCCTGGTTGGGGGCAAAGGTGAAAAAAGGACTAGGAGTTGTGAAGAAGATGCAAGGAAGAGCAGTCAGGAGTGGACCCTTACCGAAGGAGGAGTAAAGCGACCAGACACGAGATTTGGCCAGGAAAATGGGCCGGAGAAAAGGAGGGCATCAACCACCGTCCCTGCTGACGAAACCATGGCCCTACCATACACCCCTGAAGCTGCCTCCTGTCGGGCTGCCCTGCTTTCTAGAAACAATATGGCTTCATATCATTCCATTCAAAGTACTTTTTGTGTATATGAATCTGGTCACTGGACGCAGAGTAACTGCACACGAGCTCAGATGGGCTGGATATCGGCGTCGTTGGTTAGTCCCTCTGGATCTGGTCCATTATATTATACACGCGCCTGTGGTTTCCCAGAAAATGCACACCGTAGCAAAATACGTACGCTTCCGCGGTGGGTAGTGGGCCATGTTGACGGAGTAGAATAGGCAGATTTAATGCGAAAGTGGGGTGAGCCGCGGATCGGAATCGCGCACACCGTCTGAGCCGCGGCTCGGATAGTTCGCTTTCCGTTAGATGGCTGCTGGGACGAATTCATTGCAGGGGCGAGCGCCTCCTCCACCCCCAAGTGCGATTTGGTCGGTGAACACTTCAAGAGACAGCCATGGAGCGCCGACGGCGAGGGACAATGGAGTTTTTTATGCAACCAATTGACTGGTACGTGGACCTGTGCTTTTCCAACAATCTCATCTCGGTTTGTAGGCGAATGGCTTAGCTGATTGACGGACAGGCTTTCTAATTTTTTAGATCCACTCTTATTGAGGAAGTAGGGGAGAGCTTGGTGCCGCCCCCTCTAGCTGCGAATGGCGATATGTGGGCGGAGCTGGAGGTGACGCAGTAGCATCCGGCGGTGGCCAGCGGCGAAGCACAGATCATCGCGGCGGCGTCCAGAAGGGAGAGCTCGCCTCCGACCTAGGAGTTGTCGATGGGCAAGATGAATCCGCAGGCGCCCGAGTGGAATAAGCGGTAAGTGTAAAACTGCTTGATTCCATCATCAGTGTTCGAATTTGTGGGAAAACTATAAACATGACCGACAAATCGTGAAAAGGGAGCGAGTTGCTTTGGATGTTGCGTGCTTACTGCATTAAGATATTTGATGCGAACAGTCAATTGGTCAGATGGACCCAAAAGCTCCACGATGAATGCGAAGGTACGCTCTTAATCGCTATGGAGTCTGTAGAAACTCAAAATGCAATTGTCATTACAGGGGGGCTAGCATAATACTTGTAGCGGCTCATCTTGGAATTTGGTTTACTCGGGGACTAGCAGCTAGCCTAGAAACTGTCTGGAATAGTTAAAATGCGGATAGGTACAATTTATAAACTGTGGTGAACATATGAACCTTCATGAACTAAGGCTGTAAATGTCGTTAGAAAGGGGATGGCATAGATAATGCAGCTGGAACATAAATTGTACTGCACTTCAAAAATTATGAGGTTGCGCATGTCTGTAATTTAGGTTACACATTCAGTATCCGAATACCTCAATTCGCTTCAAAAAGCTGTAGCAACATAGTGATGTCCCTGAATTAAAATACATAATTATATTAACATTGGTTTGTTGCTATGAGTAATGGAGTTAGTGTGGGCTGGAGTACCTATTTAACAGAATGTGGCAAGCTGTCCATAATTTGGTATTCGTTTTCTGTTGCTTGATGCATTGGGACTACTCATCATATATAATATAACCGAATGATGTTTTATAGTTATTGTTACACTACAATGGGATTGGTACACTGATAAAGAACTTAGAAAAATGTTGGCTGCAATGCAGCAGTAGAGTTTTTAATTTTATGAAAGCTTACTTTGCTGGTAGTTTTAAAGGCCAGTTTCTCTATTTGAACATGCACCTTCCATTGAGTACAGACTAGAAACCCTATTCAATATAAGGTTGAGACAGACAGTTTCTAATGCAATCGATTGGTCTAATTGACCACTTTAAAATAGTGTGCTTGAGTGGTCTAGCTCGAATTGCATTTTCAGAATGGATTGCTGTAGGCAACTGTGCTTAATAGACATGTGAATTATAGGTAGATGTAACGTGTTAATTAACACTTGGAATGGTTTTCATAATTGAATGTGTAATTCAACTGGGTGAAACCATAGTAAACTAGACATCTGACAACTAGAGGCAGCTTCTGTATTATGACGGCATATTAAGTATATTGTGTCCGTCTTGAATTTCTTACTGTTAGCCTCTAGCGTGGTGTTTCAAGCAAATATGTTGAAATTGTACTTCTGAAGTGGAGACACTGTGACCTGAAATAACAAAATGGGATTGGTTTATCCATCTTGTAAAAGCAATTAAGTTTGGTTTTAGTTTACTGAATATAAAACATTGAAACACCTTTGAAGTAAAAAATGGAAAATAGTAGGAACCATAGAATTAATTACAAAAAGATGTTCTGTGTCATGTGGTTGTGTGGAAAACTGTTTACATGGAAAATGATAGATATCTGATGAACAAAGGGGGGCAATCTGAAGCACTGCATAAAAGCTAGGTGGAGTTGATTACATATTTTTGGCAATCAGTGGTCACATGTCTACCCCAAGGTGCCTGATGTCATGATCTCGGAGGTGCTGTTCTGACAAGTTAGAGGTGATCGCGTAGGTAGTTGGATCCTGAAGATGCAAGTCTTGATGACGACCCCTAGGTTATATTTTGATACTTCGAGCCGGTGATAGCTGTCATGCCAGATGCTGCTATGGCAGTCCCCAAATTCCTGATGTGTGTTCAGCGATAGTTACATGCATGTAAAGCAAAACTTATACTTTGGTCTGGATGTGACCTGTTTAACTTGCATCCCACATAGCTGGTGTGGAAGTTATTTTGCTCACGGCGAGCTTACATAATGATTGCTAAATGTATGAAGACATGTCTTTATAACATGTCTAAGATTTTCAGTTGAAGGTGTGGATGGTGAGAGGAGAGTTCATATGCTGCGAAGAGAGTTTGTATGATGGTGATGTTAGATTTTATTTTTACTGCTATGATGTTAGAATTTGAATGATGTCCTTTCATTGCCGTATATTAACACCATAGCATGGTAAGAGGGATAGTTTTCTTCAACATTGTGGTAGGTTACGTGGTAAGAATTTTGAGTCTGAAGAAGAGATGCGATACAAGCATGAGGACAATGCTAACATCATCCTGGAAGGACTGCGTCGATGCATATACGTGCTAACATCACTGGATGGCATGTTCCAGCGCAAGGATGGAGGGTGATCTATAATGTGAACATGCATCCAAGTTGCGAAATGTGAGTGTTGTGGTCGGTTGCACTGTCAAATTACTCAGCATGCGCATTTGAAGACCATAACTGACTTGAACTCGGTGTGTGTAGTGAGAACAGCTGGCTTTACATATTGAATTACATTCGGGAATTAACTGGGTTGTACATCTACACTCCCCTGACCCTGGTAAGCAGCATGATTACTCTCTGTCCATCAAATGACTGGTTATATATATTATGAATGAGAATTACTAATGTTCAGCAAATACGAAACTGCAGAAAGGAGAACCTGTAAAGAAAGCCGGAGCAGAAATTGCTTTACGAGGTGATATCTATGAGGGGGAACCGCGCTGAGCTGCCAGATTTTATGATTGAGGTAGTTCCATTCTGATATGAGATGGGCTATTGGAGGAAGTTTGGTTATCATATATACAGTCTGGTTCTAGTAGTTGTGAGTTTGATGCGAGAAGCATAACACACTAGAAGGAAATGTTAGCTACCATCCCGGCTGTTCTGGTGTGGTAGTGGTTACCAGGGAGGTCAAGTGTTACCATATAAACCCGTATCGCAAATGGAGGCAAGTGTTAGCTACCATCTCCTGAATTGTGGTGTGGTGATGATCTCTCAATGAATCCGGTAGCATCCAGGGTTGTGTTTTGAGCAAGGGATGTGAGTTAAACTATAATCCACACCACCTGTCTTAGATGTAAGTGTGTCTGAACCACGCGTGGATGTATTAAGTACTGTAGATGTGCATGACTACAAATTATGGTTGGGAGCATCAGAAATTATATGCTTACAACG